TGAACTCTTACAAGGTAACACTAGCGACTGACTTGTCACAAGTGGAACTGCCCATCACATTATATAATCTGTTGCAACTTCAGTTTTTAAAAATTGTAAATAAGGATAACATTCATCTTATGATGGCAACTGTAACACTTTCTATTTTGCCTAGCACATGATATTTGTAAAATGTTAACTTATTTTAACAATTTGTTTTACTTTTGGATGAGATGTGAAACATAATATATATTAAAGCACTCTGAATGGTAAAACACAGTAGTCAAATCTCCCACTGGAAAAATCTTCCTTGCCAACGAGTTTTTTTTTTTTATAATGTAATACAATCAACAACTGTCCAACAAAAACATTCGAATCACACTCATAATAAAATTTCTAGTATATACATTAAAAGACGAAATTAATTTTAATGTTTTAAATAAACAGATAATATAATTTCGGTATGTAATCACCATACATATTTTTAAATTTAAAAGATTTAAAATCCCAGTACATATGTGTCAAGTTAGTCACTAAGCGTTCAACAGTATAGTGAAATGGCATCCTACTGAAAGTTATATTTAATGGAAATAATATCCTACCTGTTTGTAAATTTAGATTCATTAGAATAATATAAAACATTTTCAAGGTGATTTAAACTCAAACTCTAGAAATCCCAGTAGCCACATTTCAAATGGTAATAGCCACCTGGGGCCAGTGGCTTCTGCTTCTTTAGCTTTGGTCCCATTCTAGAATTTTGCTTGCACCTCTAAAGGATCATGGACTTCTGTGAGTTTTATTTTTGTTTGATCCACCACTTAGCGAACGCTTGTCTTTTTAACATTTTAAAAGACAATTCAAAGGGTAAGAGAAAACTGCAAGTTTCTTTTGGAGTGTCCACTGAACAATTATTAATGTTTGCTTGTGAGTAAACTCTCTGGGCAAAACCAAACAACTTCACAGAAGTACGTAAATGTGCTGTTGATTTGAACTTAGAAAAAGAAGTCGAGGAGACAGTGGCTGAATCACTTTTGGCCTCTGCTTTCTATGGCTGTCTTCTAGCGCGACGACAGATTTAACTTCTGCCTATTAGGGTTAGCGATTTTCACCTTGCTGACAAGCACACTTCGGAGTTTGCACTTCTCAGAGTACACAGACGTCTTTCACAAAACCAGGCGGTAGTCGCTGAACTTGCGTCGCCAGAGATTCAGCCAAAGACCCTTTCTATTTTTAGCCAGACCAACTGCGGGTCAATTCAAGTTTCTGCAGAGTGAAAAGCGCTCAGACACAAAACAGAAAAGCGGAAGCCTAGCTCTTTGCCAGGTACCATTCGAAATCCCCGGAGACTACACCCACCGAAACTCCACACGGGAATTGTTTTGAGGCGGCTGCAGCCAGCCCCAGCAAGTCCCGGCACCCAGCCCGGAGAAGCCGCCGCCTTCTCAACCCTGCTAGGAGCGGCCCCGCCTAGCCCGGCTTCGGGGTGTGGCCAGGCGCGGAGGGGGCGTGGCCAGCCTCGGGGCGAGGCGGGGCGAGCGCGGAGGCGGAAGTTCCCCGCTGGCCTGAGACGGCGCACAGGCACCGGGAGCCAC